CCGCTTGCGCGTTGCGTTATTTTCTGCTTTTTCCCCAACTCTCCCACCTTCCCTTGTTCTCTTCTCCTCCCCGCCCCTCGCGCGCCAGCCTCGCGGCGCTTCCAGCGTCGGTTTATTCCCTTCCCCCTCCCCTCTCCTCTCCTCTCCCTGCCATTCCTTCCCTCCCTCGACTCCCCGCTGTGGTCGGGGTGGGCCAAGCAGCGAAAACCGGAGGGTGCAGGCAGCCGAGTCAGCCCGAGGGTTGCCAAGGCAGGGACTGGCTGGCGCCTGAGGGGAGACCCCCCTCCTTCCTCCTCCTGCCCTCGGCGCCTACGGAGAGCAACCGGGCCGGCTCATAAAAGAAGAGCGAGGAGCGGCGGGGAAGTGAGGGGGGGGGAAACGCCCCCCCCGGACCTCGAGCAGCAACATGAGGTGAAGTAGGGGCTTCTTCGAACGGGAGAAATCACCGGGGAGGGTGGGGAAGGCGTCTCTCTCTCCCCCCCCCTACAAGCATTGGGCTCGTCCTTTCAGTGTGTGTGTGTGTGGTGGTGGCGGCGGTGGGGAATGCTGGATGGAAACCGTGTGCGGGTAAGTTTGAGGAAGGGGCCCAGCCCCTCAAAATGAAGCGAGGGCTTGACCGGGAAACCCCGGCGAAATGGAGAAGGAGAGTCCTAATAGGGAAGCCTCGTGTACTATAACGTACCTCGGTTGAGACGAAAGATGCACGAAAGACCACCATGAGTCGGCTTGGGGCGTGGGGGGGGGTGTTCCCCACTCCCTCCCCCTGCTGGACACGCGTGTTCATTATTCACCCCCCCCCCGGCCCCTTAACCCGGTATCTGGCGATGAAATTTCTATTTCCCCAGTGTTGTGTTTGGGCTTCTTTTCTTTCTCGAAAGTGGGGGAAGTTTGTGAGTGGATGTTAGTCGGTGGATGAAAAAAAGGAAAGGTGCCGCTGATGCTGTGTTCCCCAGGACCAATGGCTCATTTGACATGTACAGCTTTTGTTGCATTAGCAGGGTCGTCCAAGAGGTATAGGGAAGATAGAAGAAGACGGAGGGAGGTGAGGTCATTGCATTTAAAGGAGTTAAAGGCAGCATTTTTAAAAACGGGAGGGAAGGATTGGAACCGGAGGAGGGAAAGATGATGAGGCCCTGGCTATTTTCCGAAATTTTATGTGCATTTAAAAGAAAAAAAAAATCGCCTTTTAAGATTTGTAACCGTTGCTTCAGAATATTAGATGGAGGAATGAAAAAGTAATACCCCCCCCTCCCCCCCCCCCCCAAATTGACGTGTGTTGCATTGCAGTAGCTCATACTGGGTTTTTCTTTGTGTGATCAATAAATAGGAAAAAGTCACTGACATAATACCCCAGCAACGGTATGTATTTGCATGTAGAATTTTTAAAGGGGCCCCATCCAAAGCGTCATTACTAGGCGGCATTCTCTTGTCTTTCTCCCCCCTCCCCCTTAAACCATGCCGGGATTCCTTTCATTTTGAAACCTTTTTTTCCCTGTGTATTTTGCATTCTGTGACCACCTCTCTGGCTTTGACGCAATACTTAGAAATGGGGCTTGTTAGGCTCTACATCAGCTCCAAGGAAACTATCTTCTTAATATAAACAGTGTAGGTTAGGTATAAATTAATCTTTCTTTCCAGATGACATTATTTTTATAAAATTTATGTAAATGTTGGTAAGCTTTTATAATACAATAAGATTCACATGATATAGCCTAATATGTTGGTGAGACAAAAAGAATTTGACTCTACATAAAATTTAAATACTTTATCTTTTAAACTTTTCCTCCCAAGGAATTAGTGCCCTTTCTCCCACCATGAGAGCTGTATAATCTTCAAAACTTCTGTTAACAAGATGCCAGGTTACTTCTCTTGATTCCTACTTTCTGCTTATAAGTCTGCAATATTCTGATTACTGTTGGCTGCCCTTTGTGTGCTTTGGGGTGAAGGTTTTGCCAAGTTATCTTTTTTTTAGTATTATGTAAAATCAATTAACTATTGTACTTTTTGACAATACTGGATATTTTTATGCTTTAACTGAAATTGAATGTATATCTTAAATGTTTGGTATCTTTAAAACATTTCAGTCAGAATATTTTGGGGTTTTTAATACTTCATGAGATTATGGCTAGATACTGCAAAAATTATTTTCAGGAACTTGTATTGCTTTTGAGATTTCATATAGGGTGGCCACTATTAATTATAGGGTGTGTCTATATAATGAGTTGAACACATGGTAAAAAGAAGTATTAGTATGTGCTCCAGTAAATACCATGTATTTAAGTATTTGTCAGTTTATTTAAACAAATTGTATTCCCTGTAAATAATGACTTTAGAAATTACCACAATATAGGCTATACAAAATTGGCTTCCTTTATTAGTCTGTTAATCCACTGCCCTATTTTCTTAAGTTTTACTCTATTAAATGCCTCTGAAATATAGACTCTAAATTCATTGGATTTATTGTAAGTATGATTAAGACGGTAAACACAGAGATTATCCTAATTCAAACAAAGGTCTGATATTTTATGGCTTTTGGCCAACTGCAGCATTAAATAGTACTGCTTATTTTGGGGTGAATTATCTCATTGGATTCTCCAAGTGGTCAAAAGGATTTTTAACAATATTACCTTTCCAGATTTTTAACAATATCACCTTTCTGCTATTTATTGAGAACAGATATTCCTTTGATATGTAACCTAAGATAATTAGAAATTCCATTCTGTAAAGAGAAATTGAAGAAGCTGGGTATATTTAGCTTTATGAAAAGACAACTGGGATGTAGCTTGGTGTGTGTGTTGGGAGGGGGAGATATGATAGCATTTTTTAAATAGCTTGAAACAATGTCTTATAGAAGAAGACTGCAGGGCAATTAATAATAATTTAAGTTATATTTTCCTAACCTATTAGCAGAGTTAAGTCATAAAGAAAAGTAGTTGGTTACCCTATATTGAATATATTCAATGTATCTGACATGAACAAACAAACAAACAAAGGGAAGGGAGCTATCTAGAATGCTTTGCTTTGGATTCCTGCATTGAGAAGATTACTGAACTTGATGGGGTAACTTTTATTTTGTTCTGCCCCTCCCCCCTCATAAAATTGGAACAGTTGTTTAAAATACTGATGAATTTTAACTTATAGAAGAACTTTTATTATATACTTATATGAAATATGTATTGGTCAGATTTGTCTATTCTCTCATGAAATAATGGAATCCCCTCTTCTGCCTTCTTTTTAATATATGTGTGTGTAATGTAGCCACTTTGTTTTCATTCTTTTAGGACCAAGGCACCATGAAAAATCAGACTATAGTACTTATGTTCAGTCTGATGTGCTGTGATAGACAGCAGGCTAGTACAAAAAAAATGGAGATATTGCTCTTTTCTTCTTTGTCCCAAAGGTGCTTTTTCAGGAGGCAACTGGACTTTCTTGTTTTTCTTTGAAGACATTTTGTTTCTCATCAAAGAAGTTTCTTCATCTCTGACTGGATGATGGGGAATAGAAGGATTTATATTCCTTGCAGACAGCTGGTCATTTGCATTCTTTTAGAGAGTTATTGAGGCCATTCCCCACCATCCAGTCAGAACTGAAGAAGCTTCTTGGATGAAAAGCAAAACTTCTTAAAGAGAAACAAAGTCCAGTTGCCTCCTGAAAAAGCACCTTTGGGACAATCATGACCTGGATGACCTGTGCTCTGAACAAAAATTGTTATAGGAAATCCTCATATTACAAACATTTATTTAGTAACAGTTCAAATTTACAACAGCACTGAAAAAAGTGACTTACAGTCATGCAGCATTCCCATGGTCAAGTGATCAAAATTCAAACATCTGGCAACTGGTGTGTATTTATGACAGTTGCAGCATCTTGGGGTTATGTGATTGCCAATGTTGGGGGGGGGTTATATCAGTCATTTCCACCCAGTACACTAAATTTTATTCAATTCAGTGCACTGAATTATATATGAGATGAGTAATACAGGACTTGAATTTTAGGACAGTACTTCAGGCGTCAAAGACATCCTAAATTGCTCTGTACTTCTTTGAAATAGTTGTACAGTAAGGTGGTACTACAATCTTAGTTTTGACCATTAACACATATTTGCATAAACAAGGGATTATATATGTAGATAATTGCTGTTAATTATTTTAAATGACTTGTGGAAAATTATCATTGCTGCCTTTCAAAACTTTGTTTCAATCTATGTTATATTCAGCTGCTCTTGATAAGGCTTTAAAACAGGAATGGTTGTTGAAAAGAGAAAATGATTATAAATAATTTGAAATATTTAAAGGTAGACCAGTGTATATGAATTGCTATTAGGGTTAGGGCTAGTGTTATGTGTATAATTTTAAATGTAAGCTTACACTGAAATATTGGTATTAGTAATTGTTGTTGAATTCTACTTTCAATATAGCAATAGGACCTAGCTTTAAATGCCGCTTTATAGTGCTTTACAGTGTACTCTTAAGTGGTTTGCAGAGTCAGCTTATTGCCCCCAACAATCTGGGTCCTCATTTCATCAACCTCGGAAGGATAGAAGGCTAAGTCAACCTTGAGCCAGTCAGAATCAAACTCCTGGCAGTCAGCAGAATTAGCCTGCAATACTGCATTCTAACCACTGTGCCACCACAGCTCATTGGTTAGAATGCAATACAGTATATAGAATACTATATAATTTCTATATAGTTATTAAACTTTGAATTTAAGCAACACTATAAATGTATACATTGCCACTACAGTTATTCAAAATGTAAACATTTCCATTCTTAAAAAGAAAGTATTTTACCATTACCTTAATTAGAAAAATAATGTATTGTTCTGTAACAAGTTTGTTAACTAGCATTACTTAATTTTATTTTGTATTGAGAGAAGTAGAAGTAAGTACATATAAATGGGGGGTGGGTGGGTTTAACATTGTTAAAACTGCTTGTATGTTACCGTGTTTCTAAGAAAATAAGACTGGATCTTATTTTCTTTTGACCCTCGAAATACGGCCTTGGCCTTATTATCGGGGGTCTTATCCCTGAAGCGGGATAGGTGTGGCTGGTTCTTGCCTGCAGCATTGCCAGTGAAGATCGGGTCACAAAAAAAAACCCCGAAGTTCTCGCGGGCAAATCATGTGCAAAGGAGAACTCTCCGCAGGGAGTGAGAAGGGCTAAGCGATGGCTTCCGAGTGGGTCCCAATGAAGCCCTGCGAGAAAGGCAGCCACAAGTCAGAGGACTTGAAACTAGGCGTGTCAGGAGTTGTCTTTGCCCTCCTCCACTTCAGGATGCTTTGGGGTTTCGGGGCAGCTTCCGTCCCCCATCCCTGGGATGCTGCTGGGGCTCCTCTTGGTGTGGCTGCTGAGCTGTTCGATCAGCTTGTGCCACGGCTATTTTGACAACCCACTTTATCCAGAGATGTCCAATGGGACGTTGCATCTGTATTTCATGCCCGCCAACTCAGAGAAGTCGCTGGGAGAGCTGGAAAACAAGTTTCGGCAGGGCCAGGAGCATGAGAGCCACGAGAAGAGCCACCTCAATGACGACTTCCTGGGAATGCTGGTGCATGCATGGGCCTTACTCAAGGAAACATACAAAGTGCAAGCTGTTTGTGCTCACCGTCCGGAGCCACGGAACCCACCTCAGCCGCCTCAAGACAGAGTATCTCAAGGGCTGAGCGGGAGCAGGTGCCTCACTGGGCTTTGAGCGACCCTCTCCCCCCAAGGGGCCAGCCACGCCAGCGGGACTCTTGCCAGCCATGCTTCCTTCATCACATGCTGACCGGGCATGGCAGGAGCTGGAAGCATCTTGCTTCTCCACCATGTCTTACCTGACTTCCAGCTCCTGCCATGCCCGGCAAGGGGAGAAGAGACGGCAAGGGAGCCCCGTCTCTCTCCATGCATCTCACTTCTCCATTGGTTCACCCCTCCCCACCTGCCACTCCCCCTTGCCTGCTGAGATCGGCAAGTCAGTTTCAGGGAGCTGAATGCGCTGCCACCCCCGGGAGGAGAAGAATGTCAGAAATGAGCTCTCTCGCAGTGCCTCCTCTCTCTCTTCTCCCGAGTGGCAGCAGTGCCTCTGGCTCACTGAATTTGGCCTGCTGATCTCAGGCAGCAGCGGCTCTGATGTTCCTCCTCCCTTTCGCACATGTGTCTTAAGTATTTGGGTGGGCTTATTTTCAGGGGGGGTTATTTTAGCACATGCGCTCGTAAGCTCAATTGGGCTTATTATCGGGACATGTCTTAGTTTCGGGGAAACACGGTAATCATAAATGTTTTTTCTTGGGATACAAATGGAATGCAAATGAAAGATAACACTTCTCAAATGCAATCAAATTTGAGCAAGAACTCATTATCAAGTAGTGATAGAGATAGAAAGCAGTTTTTCTTCCACTATTGTATCCTTTTGATGTCATCCTGCAGTACTTTCCTTAAGTAGTTTTTGGCTTTTTAAGATCTGTTTCACTGGAGATTTGACAGAATTTCACTCTAGAATATATTTATCAAAGAAATATATTTGTATTCGTAACTGAGTTCACAGTTCAGATAGTTTAGTTTGTAGGGTATCCCACATCACTATTTGATAAGATTTAACTAAATAGCTTTAAATTTCCTGATTACGATAAAGTACCTAGTACTCAGTTGATGGGCTACTTGTTTGCTAATTCTTATTATGTAAGGATTATTACATCCAATAAGGAAAGGATCTGTTAAACAAATATATCACTGGAATATTTATGGGCTGTTGTTAATGTTCTATATTTCTTTTGATACACTTAAGGAAAGTTATTATGACTATTGCTTGCATATGATAGACACTGTTTGCTAAAAGATCTGGAAAATATCAGATTTGCAAGGATTTTATATTTTACCAAGGATTACTATGATCAGTTTGATTTATTTAATATTTAAATAAGGGATTACAGGCAATAGCAGAAGCAATGCACCTAAATATATAAATATTTGTAAATTAAATGCCAATTTCAAGTCATACACTCAAGGTAAAAACTATAAATTACATCAACATGTCCTTTGAATATAAGAATTTCAGTTTCTCTTGATGGTTGTATTACACAAATACTTTTAGTTTCCACTTTGAAAAAAGATTGATTATATTATTTATTCTAAATTCAGCAAACTGTCAAAATGCTTCCTTTGCTTTGGAAACGTATGTTGTCCATTTTTTAAAAAAAGTATAATATTTGATATCAAAATGATCCACACTCTGTCATATTTAACAAATTCCACGATTTTGTATTTTCGTTCATCCATTTTTCTTCCAAATGTAATATAATTCAGTGGAAGATTTCTGAGTAGAAATCTAATTAAGGGTGGTAACTAACAAATACAATTTGTGGGATTAGTTATCTCATAAATTGAAACATTAAATAGTAACAGATATTAATAAATTTGCTGAGACAGATTGTTTACCTCTTTGTTTACAATTTTGTGTTGGCAGCTTAATATATCCTTCCAGATGGTAGGGAAACCAATAATGTATTAAAGTCAAGATTTTTGTTCCTTTCCTTTTCAGTACTAATAACAGAGGTTTTAATAATGTGAAGCAGTACGCTCACATGTAAGCATATTTATGAAGAAAATGTTTGGAATATGATCTCACAAATGATTTGGTTTAAAAGTTGATTAAGTGTGTTAAATACGCCTTTTTGGATATAGTCGTTTTTTGGTATATATTCCCCTTTAATGTTTGTTCATTTATTACAAAGTTATGTGTCACTTGGCATTTTTTAAATCTCTTGATAATCGCACCTCTTTTTCAGAAGCAAAAGTACAGGTAGTCCTCAACATATGACCACAGTTGAGTCCAAAATTTCTATTGCTAAATGAGACATTTGTTAAGTGAATTTCACCTCATTTTATGACCTTTCTTGCCACAAATGTTAAGTGAATCACTGCAGTCGTTAAGTTAGTAACATGGTTGTTAAATGAATCTGGCTTTCCCATTGACTTTGCTTGTCAGTAGGTCACAAAAGGTGATCACATGATCCTGGGACACTGCAACAATCATAAATGTGAGTCACTTGCCAAAAGTGTGAATTTTGATCATGTGACCATGGGATACTACAACAGCCGTAAGAATGACAGAGGGTTATAAGACATTTTTTTCAGTGCCATTGTAACTTCAAATGCAACAAACTGTTGTAAATTGAGACCACCTTTACAGCAATTCTGTGATCAGTATATAATAAAATATATAGGTAGAAGTGGTCTTCAGCCATCTATTTTAGCAGTATTTTCAGATTTTTTTTAAAAAAAAATCAGTTATCTGAGATGTTTAGAGACAGGTCAAGAGGTTGCATATGGGATTGTGCATTATTACAGATAGATATCTATTGTCTAGAAATAATCATTTTATGCTAAATTCCTATCTAGCTATAAATCTAACCATACTATTAAGCAATATCTTTATCAAATTGAAATTGGCTTTACTCACCCATAAAACCAATGCATAGGTTTATTATGCAGACCTTGTTGCTAAGCAATTGCAAACCATAATTTGCTTGTTCAGATGTAATGTAATCTCTGAACCAAGCAGGTTCTGACAAGTTAACTATGGTAAGTAAACTACCATTCTATGATGAATTTGATATAAGCAAACTTTATTTCAGTGTTGAAACTATAGAGTGATAGTATTTAGATTGTCTGGTAAATTTTTCAAGTTTGGACGAAGACTAGAGAGACATTTAGGACATTTATATCAGTTGGGAACAAATTGTCAAGTTCCATATTTTTATGCTTTGGTACAGGAAAGGAAGACAATAAGACCATTTTTGACTGCTGCACTAGATATTTCTGTGCAACAATGGCTAAATTTGGTTTGCTTTGTTCTACCTTTTCATGTGGAGTCATAGAGTTCCTTAACTGATCTTGTCAAAGGGATAAGCAAAATAAAGTATCAGTCACAATTTTAGTTGGACTCCCAATGCAGCACAGAATTTTTAGACTTTGAAACTTAATCTAACTGCAAATAAGGAATTTTAAATTCTTGATGTGATGCCTAAATTGATGGACTGTAATGTACAATTGATCATCAGAAAATAATCTGAATTTATAATTTGAAGATTTTATGCATTATTTTCAATATTATATGTTGCCTATTCAAATAATGTTAAATATATGAACAACTAAGTGGGAAACTATTGTGTTTTGTTAATAAGTGTAGCTTTATAATATAATTAGGTCTATTTTTCTATGATAGTTAGGATAGACAGGGTCATGACTCATGTTTCTAACAGTACAGTCTTGTTTAGCAGACAATGTAAGTTTTATACTTTATTGAAGGGTGGGGTATAAATCCCTGAAATAAATATGCATTCAGATAATTGAACAAAATGGGTAAGTTCAAATTGTTATTCATCTCTTTCCTTTAATATAATATAAATATGCAGTGCAAAAATTATATGGCTATTTAAGACAGACTATCTGGCCTGGATATGGGATGGAAACAGGCGCTCAAATGGCACGTGGTGGGAATGGGATTGGGGGTAGTGATCTCTTCTTGAGTTCTCAATAGGCTTAGATACCATTGACCATGATATCATCTTGGGTAAGGTGACCAGACGTCCCGCTTTTGGCGGGACAGTCCCGCTTTTGAGCAATTTGTCCCGTGTCCCGCGGCGTTTTTAAAAAGTCCCGATTTTTCATTCTGCCTCCTGAGTCCCGGCTGCCTCCTGAGTCCCAGCTGATGGCTAGAGGGAAAAAAACCTGTTTAAACTCTTGCCGCGGGGCTTCAAAGGGCCGCCCTACGTTGATTAGCTCGGCTTCCCCCTCTCAGCTGATTTGCGCAGGGCTCTGCTCTTGCTAAATTGCTCAGCAGTTTTTTTTTTCTCTTTGTGCAAACCAAGCTCAAAACGAAACTGAAAGTAAAACAGGCTGTTGGCTTTGCTGTTTGCTTGCAACGTTGGAAAATTAGGCAGCAGATTTATTTTCCTTTTCCTCACCAAAAAAGGTAGGTGCAAACAATGGGAAATTATTTAGGGCAAAAGAGGAGAGTTCAAGATTTTAAAACACAAAAGAAAAAAAAGCTCTTTTTAACTAGGGAATTGTAATAATTGAGATACTATTAATTGTATACTGTGTTGAAAGCAGAAATGGTTAAGTTGTGGTTTGGAGGAATATATGGGGGAAATTATTTGGTTTATTATTATTGGTAAGTATAATTAATTGATTTGTAAGAAATTGGATTGCATGGAAATAATTGGACTATTCATGTTCATATTGATTAATATACAAAAAAGATAGTTATATAACTAATTGATTTATATTAAAATGTTGAATTTGTATTAAACAACTGTATTACATAATTACATAATTAACCAATGTGAGGATGGATATAAAAATAGATGACAATGGGAAGGGGTATAATATAGAATAGAAGGGAAAAATTGAATTTGATTAAGATTAGAGATGAGGATGAAGGGTAATATTGTTTTTTTAAAAAAATAGATGAGGAATAAATATGGCAAAAAGGAAATATAGAAATTGTAAATTTAATTGAAATGACTAAACACTGTTTAAATTTGTGAACCAGCCAAATATTCTGTTCAAAGAAAATACATTGTATGTTTGTATGTGTGTTTCTAATTATTGCTATTTATTCATATTTGTTCTCTTTTATTCTTTAAAGTTTAACAATTCATTCTTTATCTTAATATCTTTATATTTGTTTGGGGTTGGCTTTCTTCCCTTTCATCCTTTTTATTGTACAGCAATCTTTCTCCTCAAACCTACCACCTCTCTTTT